TGTTGAAGATATATAAAGGAATGCAACTCAGTATCAGATAATGCAAACTACCAGAATTACTAAAGAAAAAGAATACTAAGATATACCATACTAGGCTATCTGAATTGGAAGTCTGAAGAATCCTGTTAGTTCTGAGTAGTAGTTAATAAAAGACAATAGAAAAAATATCAAAAAGATAGATATCAGAATTTTGAGTAAACCTTATAAGAGTATAGTGATTTAATAATTAGTGCTAACTGCAAGTGATAGTTTAGGCCAAAACAATACTAAGTGAACTATAAGTATAGAATACAGAACATACCAGTAGGTTTAGTACAAAGTTAAATATAACTTAGTAATCATGATATATTTTTATCAGTTTACTAGAGTTATTGGTAGAGTGTGATGAATACAGGATCAGAATGTTTAAATAAAGGACTTATAAGTAAATCATAGGTATAGTAACAAATATAAAATCTTTAGACAGACTACTTAAATTAGATAATAACTAAAGTTGTATAAGTGACTAGTTGTATACTCTTTTTATGATTGTTTCTGTACTGTTATATCAACAGATGCTGGCCAACTGATACTACTAATAAAATCTTGGATCACATGTACTTACCTTAACATTAAAAAAAAAAATCATAATTATAATTATCTGATAGTTATATAATAAAAGTTACATATATTTTTTTTATTTTTTGATTTTCTCTTTTATTTCTTGTATTGTATCTTTTATTGTCTTCTTCTATATTTCTGTATTTTTTTTATATAAGTTTTTTTTGTTTTTGTTTACTTCTCTATAAGAAGATGTTATCAAGACTATTTAAATGAAAAATAAAAAAATAATTATTTATAATATTTTCAATTTTCTTAACTCTAACAGGTCTAATACCAAATAAACTTATTAATATTATTGTAAGTTGGTCATCTAAAAAAAATTACTATAAGATTTATTATAAAGTTTTGCTTCATTACAATTAACAAATTTACTATAAAATCTGAATTCTCTATTAAATTTCAAGATTTACAACTTAAATTCCTAAATATAACTCATTATTAAACTCTATCTCATTTCTATAATATTTTCTTTTATTCAATTTTATTAATTTAAAAATAAATTTTTAGAATATCTAATAGATTAAATATCAAATTAATCTCTTATATATAATTACTAATACTTAAATTCAGATGAGTCTTAGTCATTTTAATTAGTTTAAATCACAAATAAATTAGTCTGAGTTTCTATTCTTTTTATAATATTTTAAAATAGAATTATACTTTATATAAAATCTCAATTAAATATTCAATAAAAATAAAGATAATCTTTATTATTAATATTAAAAAAATAAAATAAAATAAAATAAAAATTTTAATTGATTATTTTAATTATCTAATTTTAACTTAATAAATATTTAAAAGATAAAGTTAATTATTAGTTTAGAGACTTTATCAATTAAATTTTAAAAAAACTTTTTAAAAAAAAATTCAAATAGTTTAACAGATAATTAATATTAAAATTTATATAAAATTAATTTATTTAATATTAGTACAAATCTGTAATATAGATTTGTAAATTAATAGTATAGTACTTAACACTTCTAGATTTTAATTACAAAATTATAAGTTTAAGTTTAAAGAATAATAACAACTTTGTTAAGATCATAATTGAAAAAAAAAACTGCAGAAAACTTCTATTTAAAAATAAGAACAAGATTCATACAAAAAGAATGCAGTTATTAGCATAACTACAAGGTTAGAGACAATCAGATAAGGTGTAATTTGTTAATAAATAATATTAACATTAAGAGAACTAATTTAAAAATAGATAATAGGTAAAATTAAAGATTTTGAAATATATGAATAATTCAACTAATAGGTTATATAAAGTTAAAAAACTGTAAGCTAAAAAGAATAATAGATCATATATTACAGAACTAATTTTTTTTTTGTTTTTGCTAAGGTTATGATTATCAACAGGTATTATCTTTATTGTATTTTAATTATAATTATATAATTTGTACAAGGTGAGTATACAACTAACCATATATACAACTTTTGATTGTCTATTTTAAGTAGTTCACCCATATAGCAGATTTTACACTAGTTGTCATACTTGCAATCTACTAGAAGATTACCTATTTAAATACTCTAATTTCTATATTTATATTAACAAATAGTACACAAATTTCTATATATCTAAGTACTATCTAACCTAAACTTGATCTTCTTTTCTGTATATCTATTAAGTCATTATATATTTCAAAGTATGTTACCTGACTATAAGACTTCAGGAGGTCTTTTTGCTAATGAATTACCTGCATTTAATCTTTTTGTTAATAGGGCTTGTCTTTGCAAAGTTCACTTAGACCTCAGTATCAACTTTATAGCATATTTCTAGTACTTATAATATACCTTTGCTTTTGACCTCAAACTTCTAATTCAGATAGTCTAAAAGAACTATGACCTGCTTCTAGTACTTCAGAATTTGATCTCAAAGTTCTTTTCTTTTGGTTTAAGACTTTTAGCAATCTGAGTAATAAAACCCTTTATTTAAGGTTCTTGTCTACTGATTTTTTTTATATTGGTATCCATTTTCTAAATCTAGCCTTTACAGTAGTACTGTTAAAAATTTGTGCTACCTCTCTACTCAGGTTTTCTAAAATGAGCTCTGGTTTTCCAGTTTATGAATTTATATAACTACAAGAACTTATTTTGAGTTTGCATTATCTGATACTGAGTTGCATTCCTTTATATATCTTCAACATTATGCAGATGTCCTATGACCTGCCAGTCATGCTAGTACAACTGTATTATAAATATCTTATACTAATTGATTGACAGAATATTATTACCATAATACTGTTTATATATTATATAAGTGATTATCCAAATTTTTACTATTAATGAGTTTTGAACTCACTATCTACTACTTGAGAGGTTGACAACTTATTCACTTCATTAAGTTACCATATCTCTATATTAAAGAACTAAAAACCTAAAATGTCATATAGTGAACTTGATAAAGCATAAATTATCTTATAAGTCTGGTAATATGCAGAAACTATATGCCATCTGATGATCTTTGCAGAATAATAACTCTGATCTTTAAAAGATGTAACAGATCTTAAAAATGTCTAAAAATCTTTAAAATAATAAAAAAAAATAAAAAAAAAAATCTATAATATAGCTAAAGTCTAAAATAAATACATAAATAATAAAAATTAAAAATTATTAAATAAAAAAAAATTTATATATATATAAAATTTTTATTTTATAATGCTGTTGCTATTGATAAACCTCTTTATTTAGAATTCTTGCTTGTACAAATTATTTGCTCTAACTTTTTTTTTCTAAATTAAGATTTTCACAAGTGATACCATCAAAGATTGTACTATCTTTTTACTTAAGATTTCCAAACAAAACTTCTTATAAAGTATATACTTCTAGATTTATTTGTGTAATATTGCACACTCTCAAAGTTAGTCTTAGTATAATCAGAATTATAAGGTTACAACCTCAAATATCTCAATCAAGTTGCCAGAATAAGACTATTTTTCAAAATTCTACTGCCAGTAGGATTTGAACTCTGAACCTACTGCTTGAAGAATGACAACTCACACTTTTTACCGATTAAGTTATATTTAAAGTTGTCACACTCTCTACTGATTAAGTTATAATTTTAAATTCGAGAGTATAATTGTGAAATTTAGTTTTACTTTTTAGATCCGTGTTAAAATCGTCTCAACCTTAAAATATATAATTTAATACTAAGATTAACGACATAATATTAAAACTTAACAACTAAATGAAAATAAATCTTGGACTAATATAATTATATTTTCAAAGTCTCAAATATTTCTGTATTCTGTTGACGTCCAAACAGTCAAGGAACTAGGACTTAAAATCACTTACGCATATAAAAATGAAATCCAATGAATTATTCGTACAATGCAGCATTGATTGGTGGAAATTATTGGCTGCGGCTCGTGTAACTGCACTTTGGGGCTAACTTTAAATCCACATGATCATATGATTTGTTAATTGCACAAATAGTAAAGAGTTACTGTACTTGTCTTACCGATGATTATATAACAATAAGTTTTCCCATGACACATCTCTTCAATTCAGTGTGAAATTTCTTCATATCGCAGCAATGATTGATTACTATCAAGATATCGACACATTATATGTTTAATACGTATACTAAAAAAAAGATGGCGTTTCCAATATTTCCAATTGTAGGCCGCCTAAACTATTCGGAGTATCAAGTCTTAATCATCGGTTTGATATTTTTAATTTTAGAAAGATTATTAAGAGTGGCCACATTTTTTCTACCAAGTGTTATCGTAAAATATTTACAGGATGTAAGTCAAAGGTAACTAATTATTAGTAAAATAAAAATAGCGATAGAAATAAAAAGCAATTGGTAAGTTTTATTTAATCGTATGAATGGTTTTTTTTTTTTTTTTGCATAAATGCTGCAAATTTAGATTATTCTCAAAAGTCTATAAAGATGAAAGAACAACATCTGTAAAGTTGCTTCAACGTATCGATAATTTCAAAGAATTAGTTAACTATTGGTAACTAAATTTCATCCAATTATTATTATTCCATTACTATTATTTCCATCAATCACAATATTTAATAACAAACAGGGGCTATCCAGTTGAAGAGCATATAGTTAAAACCCAAGATAATTATATTTTGGGAATTCAGCGCATTCCTCACGGAAGAATAATTCCTGATGATGATGAGCTTGTCCATACATCTCATAATGATAATGATAATGATAATGAAATACAACAATATGAATCTATAGAAACAGTATTTAGAAGATGTGGTATTTCATTAAATACAATTCGGCACCCTGACAGAGATCATGACGAATTATTTCATAGTGATGAGAATTCAAGTAGTGCAGGACTATCACATATGACTAATACACAGAGATCCGCTAAAGATAAATTACAAAAACGACATGTTTCTTTTTCATCAACTCATTCTAATAAATCTATGAACAGTAAAGAAACAGTTAGCGAACCAAATGAAATATGTAACTATGTTAAACCTGTTGTGTTGTTTTATCATGGGTTAATGACATGTAGCGAAATTTGGGTTTGTAACTATGAATACAAGAATAGATTAGGCTGTTTACTAGCTGACGCTGGGTAAGTCAATAAAAATTTTTTATGTAGATAATTTCTTATATAGATAATTAATAATAGAATTAACTTCTTCTAAGATATGATGTGTGGTTTGGTAATTCTCGAGGAAACAAGTATTCGATGAAACACTTAAAATATGATCCAAGCGGACGTAAGTTCTGGGATTTTTCAATGGATGAATTTGCTCTTTATGATTTGCCAGATACCATTAATGTATGCCTTATTTTAAATAATATGAATGAGATTCTTTAATGCATATTGTAAAAAAGTAATTCTAAAAGTTGTATTTACATAGTACATATTAGAAATGACAGGTGCACCATCTTTGTCATATATTGGCTTTTCTCAAGGAACTGCGCAATGTTTTGCGGCATTATCGATAAATCCAAAGATCAACAGTAAGATTAATTTATTCATTGCTCTGGCTCCTGCAACAAGCCCCAAAGGTGTGTCTATAACACTGGTAAAAATTAAAAAAAAAATTTGACATTTCAATGGCTGTTGAATGGTGCCATTCGACATGCTGAATTTTTTAGGTTTTACCAGTGTAATTTATATGTATATCTTATATTAAATTATATGCATTCGAATATTACTAATTAAAGTAATTTAACTATAATCTTCCTTAATACCCTTCGTAAATCACACATTTACATACAAACGATATCCTAAATCGAGCAGGCCTTAATAATTCTATAGTAAATGCATTCATAAAAACTTCGCCGGATATAATCTATTTATTCTTTGGTCGTAGAGCAATGTTAACAATGGCATTATTTTGGCAACGAGTATTGTCACCCCCTATATTTACAAAAATAGTAGATTTTGCATTAAAATTTTTATTTGGATGGAGTTGTGAAAATATTAGTGAAATTCAAAAGGCTATTGGATATTATCATTTGTATAGTTGTAGCAGTGTCAAAAGTGTTGTGGTATGTAATTCATGGATACAGTACGATTTCCCGAAGTTATTTGCTCGACAGGCCACTTACTCGACATCACGCAGGGTGCAAATTGCAGCTAATCAATGCTAGCTCTATGTGATGTCGGGTAAGTGGCATATTAGGTAATGGCTTTCGGGGAATTGAACGACAACTGTAATTCATATACCACAAATTCTCGAAATAGTGAGCATATGCGTTATTTTGAGAATTTACGGTATATGTATACATATACAGTCAACTCTTTCTATAACGAACTGACGGCTCCGGAAAAAAAAAAAAAGTTTTCTATAGAAAATTATTATGTTTCTTAAGGACCCATTGCATTTTCCATGCCGAACTATTATAAAAATTTTGAGTTTGTTACATCCAGAGTTCGTTATATAGTATATCCAGTCGACTGTATATATGGTTTTAATTGAAAATATAAGTATACTAATCTTTATGTACATATTGATTAACAAATTTTAAGCACTGGTTCCAAATCGTCAGGACTCATAACTTTCAAATGTACGATGAACTACCCACATATTCATTTACAACATCATTCGGTAAATCTTGTCAAAGGTTTCCAACGCAGCAAATTACTACACCCATTGCAATATTTTATGGAGGCTGTGATAGTTTATTGGATATAACTATGTTATTAGAACAAATTCCTAAGCCTGTAATTGTTAGAGAGATTCCGGAGTACGAGCATTTAGGTAAGGTTTATTAAAAGCGATTTTAAGGGAATGATGCATCAACAATTTTGGTGACAATCGTAACTGAAACCTGCCAAATTTTCTTCCTTTTGTTAGACTTTATTTGGGCATCAGATATAAATCATAAAGTATTCCCAGTAATATTTTATTTATTACGTAAATATAATATCCATGATGATAATGACATCACATATTCCTCCGATGAACCATCTGACATTGAGCAAAATTATATATTTGACTATGAAGATTATGACAATCAATCCAATAATGATGTGACTTATCAACAACAAAAAGAAGCTATTCAACGTGATACGACGGTTGGAGAACTTTATGATAATGAATTATCAGATAGTCATTACCAAAAAGTTAGTGAGCATAGAGAAGAATTTGATAGTAAAAGCTATAATAGTAATGAAATTGAACAAGAAAGTTCTGATGAATCAGATCATACACGTGAAATTATTTATCAAGAGGACGATGATGATGATGATGATGAGTATACCAAGATTTAACGATGAAAGTTGATAACCTGGGTAATCCAAAATGATTTTAAAGAATTATGAACCTTGTGCATTTGATGTTATTTTGAATTGTATACATCTTTATATGTTAGTCAGAATATGGAAAATGATACGTTCAAATATTTTATATATTTAGTAATAAAGAGATATAAAATTTGCTAGCATACTTAAGAGGTAAATCATGGTTAAAGGGTATAAAAATAGCGGAAGTTAATATGGTTTTTCTATATGGTTGGAATGCAGATAACTTACAATGAAAAGTTTTTTTTTATACCAAATAAACCTTTCTTGAGCTTCTAACAAAGATTATAAAACAAGTGATTCCGGTTCTAATAGTGGTAGAATTATTCAAATTGGTTTGGTAGATCGCGAGCTATTGGCATTTTCTCCTTTATAACTATATGATTTTTACATAATGTCAAACTTTCGGCATTCCAACATTATATGAAAGTAATAGTAATTCTCCGCTGATTCGGTTTTTATAACTCAGTTAAATATTTATTTAAGAAATATAAATTTTAAGAAAGTTGTCCGAAGCGTAGTGAGGACTCATTTTTTGGGTACTGTTCCACCTCTTATAGTGACGGGCATTTTCAGCAATTAATAACAATGCCATGTCTAAAACTTAATTCGTCCGTATCTCGTGATCCACTGAGTCAATTTTAACGTTCTGACCACCATTATGCTTAGAAATCTCTTTTTTATAACATTTTTTTTTGTGTTAAGGTGACCTCTTGGGTCTTTTGACTTTATTTAACAATGGTAAATGTAGTTCAGTAAATTACTATAGGAAGAGCATACAATTGATTACACATGTAATTTTTCTATATTACCTATTTAAGAAGTCCATCTGAAGGTTCTCTATCAATTGCTATACTTAACACTCCTGTTTGGTATTCCACTTTAAACCTTCTAAACCTGCAAACCTATTAACTTCACTGGGTCATACCTAATGCTTAGATCATTATTTCAATCTTAGGACTATTTTATTCTCAAGATAAACCTTCCAGAGTCTTCTGTACCTATTTTTATAATTGATCTAGGTATCATTATGACAGAACCAACACTTGCAGTCAGAATTTAATCATTAAACTGTTATGTTCTTATAGAGTTCACTTAGACCTCAGCATCTATTTTATAGCATAATCTTAGTACTTTAGTATATTCTTGCCTTTTACCTACTTTTTTACCAAACTTCCAATCCAAATAACCTATATAGAATTACAACTAGTCCATTGATATATCAAATTAGTCTGATATCCTTTTTCTCTAGTTTATTCCAATAACCTGGTTGGTAGTATTTTTGAGACTTTCAACCTAGAGGTTCTTGTCTGTTCAGTTACTATGATCAGGTATTATAATCTTGGTATCTGTTTCTCTGAACTAGCTTTTACAGTAGGGTTGTCAAAGATCCAGCTACCTCTCTATTCAGGTCTTTTCAAATGGACTTCTTGTTACCCAATTTCAATAGATTTATATAAACACAAGAACTTATCTAGTGTTTATTTGCTTAATTGTCAATTTGTATTTCTTTGTATAATCATAGATCTTGTTCTAAAAAACAATATCATATGACTTATATGAATGTTTCATAATCTGCCAATCAAACTAACCTAACATTATCCAAAAAATCAGTTATATATCAGAATTTGAAAAAATTAAATATCAGGACTCAGATAATAATCGATTAACTGATAGTTTTTATATACAATTATCAATTGTAATAATTTTTTTTTTATTTAATAAAATATATGTAATTAGCATTAATTAAATTCTTGACTAGGGGGTGTGGCGACTTAGTGAAGTGGATAAGTTGTCAACCTCCCAAGTGGTAGGTTGTGAGTTCAAAACCCATCGACAGTGAAAAATTTGAATAATCATCTATGTAATACATAGACAGTATTACGGCGATGGCATTCTGTCGATCAGTTGGGATAGGATACCTGTAACTATGGTCACACCAGCATGA